TTAGGAAGACATCATCAATATTCTCTTTTCTAGAGAGAAGAAACACTACCTTGCAATTGAGATCATCTTCAGAAACGTCAGTGCAAGGAGAGGAGACATTTCTTTGGGGCAATTAAAATTAATTTTCAGCGCACAATAAAAAATATAAAATCTGTGCTTTCTAAGGCACCCCTAGCATGCAAGACGCTTCCTCCAATCCTTCACATAGAGTGCAATACTCCAAGTATTAAAGATTATTTTTCAGTATAACTCCCAAAGGAATGTGGGGATACGGGTTATACGGCCATCAGGAAGTTGGCTCTTTCTGCGCATTGTTTAGCAGCCAAAAAGAATGCCAGGCTGCAGAGAAAGCAGCCAAAACAGATTCCTTTTATGGTGTGATACCATTTTGTTCAAGAGACAGCCCTCTTCTTTACTGGCTATGCCTCAGAACCCACTCCTCGCAGAGAGATAGAGGTTTCTAATGAATAAACCAGGCCTGGCTGGGAGAACTTCACCCTAGGAAAGTAAAACCACTCACCAACAGTTCTGGAAGCAATATGATCAAATGCTATAAAGAACTTTCATATTTTTGGCAGCCTCTATCCCTGATCCTCTCTAACATGAGACTTTCAAGCAAGGTCCCTATTCTTAGATTCACAACACCCCTCCTGTTGCCAAGAGTTTTGCTACTCTGGGTTATTTTATTTTCCTAAAGTACATTTTCTTCATGAGCCTCATCAACAACAACCTCTCCAACAACTTAAAATAGATTTTAAGCTTTGTGAGGCTTTCCTGTGTAACTCAGGTTCAAAGTGTTTGTTCTGATATAGAAACAAGTCTTGCTTAATCACTTTTATTGTTCTTGGCCACATTTCTTGGATTAAGACACTTTACAACAGGAAGAGACACAGTGGCACATATACTAAGCTAACATAACCTTTTGTTGTGAACACCAAGAAGCGAAGATTAAAAGCCCAGATCCTTCAAACACAGGCTACATAAACAGCAATAAATTAATATTTTCCACAAATACAACGTTTCTGTCATGCGAGAAAATGTGGGAAACATTCAAGTTTTTTTTAACTGGATGTCACATCGAAGGTCTTTCTCGCTTGCTAATTAAGCCTATTTCTAGGCTAAGACATGCATGAGGTTGTTGCCACCAAGCGGCCTTTTGACATTTAAAGATAACAGATCAGGCAAGAAATTGGGTAGGCAGTGACATACTACCATTGTCATCATCATCATCATTACCATCACCATCAAATATTTATGGCTGTTTACTCTGCTGAAATATAAAATATATCCCAGAGGGTGTAATCAATTTTGAATGTTTCCCATAAATTCAAAGTAGCTTTCCTACTTTGGAATATACAAAATTAGTAACTTGTACATGTGATTTAGGAAGAGGGGAAAAAAATTTAAATACAGTGAGAACAGGTTTAAATTTAAGTATAGAAACATGAAATCCGTAAAAATTTGAAAAGCAGCTTCATTGTACTATTTTATCTAACAAGTCTTTCTTCCTAGTTAATAGGAATCCTAAGCACTACAGGAAAAAAAAGTGTTTGGAGCTCTTTTTTATAAAATTGGATAAACTTACCTATTTGTTAAAGCTCTTTCAGAACATGCTATATTTGATATAGTCTATCTTAAGTGTGGGCTCAAAAGTAATTTATAGTTTCTTTAATTTTCTGAAATCTATATTGACTTCCCCATACATCTAAATTAATTATAACGTCATGCATTGATTATATACTTCTGTCTTGAATATAAGCTTCTTTCTTTGGCATAATATCCCATTTATAACTATAACAGAAAAAAAAATCTAGACTGAAGCAACTCAGTAGCTCTTCTATAAGGCAGTGTGTTTGTAGCACCGTGAATCGCTGTTTCTTCTTGAAAGTAGGGGGATTTAAAGTCTCCTCCCAAAAGCCAAAAGTCAGTGAAGTCCACCCACCATGCCTCTTCACCATACCCGGCAAGAAATACATTTTATTTTGTTGGCTTAATAATATTCACGAGGAGCAGAAAAGACGTGAAAAGACCACAATAGCCACACCGGTTGCGGAGGAGACATCATGTGTGATCACACACAAACACGATATTCCGAGTTCTGCCTGGTCACTGCTTGGGAGTGGCTGGGAGTGAGGTGATAGTTTGAGGACAGTAAGAACTCACACAGACAACATTATTATGTGAGTGATACTACTCAACGTCTTAGAAGATTTAATTTTCATTAGATGTCACTGGTATTTTTTCTAGATAATATTACATATTTACAAGTAAACAGATGTGATAGTCACTTACTATTTTACAGATACAAATAAATCTTTTTGGCAAAAGCAATATTGCACTCTACCTCAAATCACTCCCAAACTGAGAAATAACTCAATTTCAAGTGACCAATTTCTAAAAGACATGTTTTAACTATATCCAGTGATCGAATCAGAATTAAAGGCCTTGTAATAGAGTAACACGAGATGACCATCTTCTGGATCACTTTAAAGCTTGCCTTCATTACTATTTTATGTTTATACATTTATATCCATGCAGTAAATTTTACAGGTGGTATCAAAAATAATTATATATGTATATATAGTATCTGGCTTTCAAAAAAATTTAGAAGATGTCCATATGTTTCTCATATACCCTTATACAATACCTCTGAGAGGTTAGAAACATGCTTTTTCTTAATTTTCTCCATTTAGTTGTCAAATTCCTCCAAAGAGCACAGAATTCAATGTAAGCGAATAGGTCTCAAACATGGTAATATTATTATTATTTTTAAATTTATAAATACTCTTTTATTTCCATACTCTTTGTGACATTTGTGGCACAGGTATTCAATCTCATGGGGACATTAAAACCCACACTAGGAGGGTGTCCAGTGTGTTCAGGTCCTAAACTTCAGGAGATACAGCTATGGGCATTCACGGGCCAAGCCTGGGGTTCCTCGAGGGGAACTGCTCATCCACGTCACCTGCCAGAGTGGATGTGCTTCCTTCCTCCCAGTGATGGGTGACCTCCACCAAGAAAACATGGTAATATTTTAAGTAAAAGACATGAGCAAAGAAAAACAGAACGAAACCAAAAATGACCAATACAAATGGGAAAAAAGCGAGAGGCAAGCATGAAATTAAACAATTACAGGCAGAAAACAAAATTTAAAGTGCTGGGTGTATAATGGTCTCTTTATTTCCTTCTCCTTTCCATTACCTAGGAATTGATCACAAAACTCTGTTTATAATGTGCCACACAGTCCTCTTCAGCCATCATCAATTTCAGTGATTTCTATGTTCTTGCCTTAAATAATCCTGAGATCCATACTCCAATATATTCTTTCTACCCACTTGAAGACAGCAATAATCTTCTATGCTCAGGTAGGTGCAAAAAGAACATCATTGTACCAAAATCAATTTTACTAATGTTCTAAAAATATAATATGAATTTTAAGATTATATTATCTACCTATTGGAATTTTAAAGTCTATATCATTCTAGAAGAAAAATGTCATCTATTCCCCCAAATTTCTCAGTGCATGTGGATTTAACATAACCAGGCAAAGTTAAATCTATTGCCTTATTGCATACCGGACTATTGGAGGTGCAAATGTCACAGCAGGACAGGAATGGGTAAAAAAACAGACCACTGCATATGCTTTCCCCTTTGTGGGTTGGGATTAGAGGACAGATGTCTTAGGAAGACACTGAACCAAAATCTACAGACACCATTATGTTCCCTTCATCAAGCAATTCGAAGGTACTTAACATTCTGCTATGGCCGAAACAGCTAGAAAACTCAAAATGGTCAGATGAATTAGAAACCTACAGAAGTGAAGATTAGCTATATAAACCTCCAGATTATCCTAACAGTAACCTACACCTTACTTAACTAAAAATAAGTTAAGGTCACTTACAAACCTGCCTAGGATTTTTTTCAACCCTGATGAAAAACAAAGGCACTTTTATGGGAATGCGATGAAAATCCATTTTTTGGCTGCAAAGAAAACAGTAGAAGGGGTGTAATTCTCAGTAGCCAACTAAATCAAAACTAAAAAAACACTGGCATAATTATCTGGCAAATTGATGCTAAACCTGTTTCATTAGGAATTCTGAACTTTGAAGATGGGTATACTTGGTATGCAGTACAAATCTTACTAATCAGGTACTACCCCCTTTATACACCAAGGCGATACAACTTACATGAGTCAAGGCTATACTCAGGCTTCAACTTGGAGACCTTGTTTTTACAGTAGAGACAGATTTGGTAAAATAGCTCCCCTCTCTCTCCCTGACATCCTAGATGTGAGGCAAGGATTTAGAATTTGACCAGACAGCATCTAGTTGCAAAGTCTAAAACCAAAGCCTTAAAATAACTGATTTTCTTAACTTCAGGGCTACTCAGGGACATTTATGTTACATTGTCCTGTGCGTAATCAATCAATGCAGATTACTAAACCATCCTCAGCAAACATCGACCTAATTTAGTGGGATGTAAAGATAGCAAACTTCATATCTGGCTAGAGTTGGTCAGTGCTCCTGCTTAACATTCTTAAGGAAACTTAAAGTGAATGGGTTCAGTCAGCACTAGGTAGCAAAGCCCAGTGCTACCAACAACCTCTAAAGACCAGCAAGGCTTTCTTCTCTTTTTGCCCCTGATTTGTTCTAACCACTAAACTCTTTTTCACTTCCTTTCTCCTGTAAAATCTACATGAATACCTGAAGACAACATATCTACAACCTTATAAGCACCAATTAGACAAAATATAAATGATGCAATATAAATCATATTTTTAAAAATCTTGTCATATTGACATGCAGAAAATTCTAGCACCAAGAACAATATTAACAATACTACAAATTTATTACAAAAGATGTCTCTTAAAAGATTTTTGTGTGATTTACTCCGAAGAGCGATCAGGAATTGCAAAGAGGAAAAAAACTGATAGAAATGAAAGCATAATGATTTTGTATTTCTTTCATTGAATTTGATTACAACATTTATAGTTAACCTACCTCAAGTTTAGGTACGTCAGCATCTGCAGATTGACGATGGCCTCAGGAATGACTCTGATACAGTTGTGATACAGATTAAGGATTTCCAGTGACACAAAATGGCATAATTCCATTGGAACTTCAACCAGTCTGTTTTTAGATAAATCTACGAGAAAGGGGAAGAATATGTTGTCAATAAATCTTCAACATAATCAATACAATCTTATCAACCATGAGCACTGTTTTTCTTAACACTATAAATTTAGACCAACATTATCCTTTTTTTCGTTACTATGGCATTGTGATTTCTATTTCCCTGCCAAATTCAGGGAAACATGGGACATGGAAAAGCAAAAATACTGCTAAACCTTTTTAGTTCTCTAAAAATGCAAATGACATATTTTTTAGCATGGTTTGAAACAGCAAAAGATGGAAAACCAATAAAATAGCAGAGGGCTGGTTGAATATTAATATATTAATAAATATTATAAAATAATACTAAAATTAAATCAATTGATAAGTATTGATACAATATTAATTCTATGTCATGTGATGGAATATAATATTAAACATTATATTCCATAATGAAATACTAATATTATGCAGCCATTAAAATGAAGGAAGCAGCTCTTTATGTGCTGATATAAAACAAACTTCAAGATATATTGTAAATGTTTTTGAAACGCCAGTTAAAGAACAGCGCATATAGTATTTGTGTTTTTTGATGAATATTCACAATTATGTTTGGATATAATTAGATTATCTCTGCAAGGCTATTCAAGTAACTGGTAAAAGTGGTTGTTTCTGGAGAGAGGATCTCTGGTTAGGTGAACAGAAGTTCTCACTATAGATACTTTTGTACCTTTAGAAATATGAATGCATTGCTTATTTGGTTATATATGATATGCAATACATATACATTATTATAACATATATAATAACCTATATTATATAAATACAAATAAATATATATCATCCTCCCATTAGTGTTTTTATTCTTTCACTGCACAAAGAATTTCATTTCACTTGAAAAGAGTTAAGGGACAAACTATGAAGTCCCTTGTATTAAATTAAGGAAAATATTGAAGTAAGCTTCCTTTTATGGATGTTTAGAACCGAAACAGAAAAAAATTCCAGAAGTCTCTCGTGTTCCTTCTTTCTGAAACTCTTTACTAGACATGGTGATTTTCATGTGTTACAGTGCTGGAGATCTGCCCAGAAAACTTGTTTGTGTTGTTTCCTTCAGGTTCAATTCAAAGAAAATTCCACTGGGGCTTCAGTTTACATTCCAATCTTTACCTTCCCTGAGAATTGGGAGAACCAGACTATTTGGCTGAGTGCAACAGATACAGAATACACATGGGTAGTATGTTTCAATAACTATTTTAAGTAATGGTGATGTTTTCATGATGTGGTGTCACTAACTTTTTTTAAACACCAAAAAAAGTTTTTGTAGAAATACTGTCATATGGCTATAAACCTTTCAAAAGATAATGGAATATCAAATTAATAATAACCACTCTGACCTGAGAACAGAAGACCAGTTCTAAATCGACAACCACCTAAGATATTTCAGAAAGTAACTCAATATTCTAGGCTTTTGCTTCTGAAGAGGTAATATTAAAGTGTATGAAACGAGATGAGTTCTAACATTCCTTTCAAATCTAAAATTTCCGTGAATAAGTCAAATATATTCAGAACTTAAGTATTTTAAGTCAAAAGTATTCAGAATCCAAATGATTTTGTTTCGTCATCAGAATAGCACCAGTTAAATATCATAAAATGTTATAAAATACAACCCCACATATACTCTAATTAAATGTTGGCACGTTCTTTAATGAATTTGTCATTTCATTGTAGAATCTATATTATATAGTCTGAATTTCAAAAGAGTTCTGTTTTCAAACTTGGGGAAAATGTAATGTTAAGAGAAAGAAAATATAAAATAGCTTATATAAATTAAGCTAATCTTCAATTTTGGGCTGAACTTACAAATGGCATCATTATTAACAATTTGCTAAGAAACATGCTAGAAGAATGTTGTAATTAGTGTATAAGTCTGGTATTTTCATTATCATTTATAATACAGATTTTATTTGCTCTCCTTCCTTCTTATCTTTTCCTCCATAATCTCCAGATTTGAGGGGAAAGGTTGGCGTTTTTCCTTCCCTGTAATTTCTCCCCTGGCCGTCTGACTTTGCTAAGGGCTCGTCAGAGCCTCTCAAGAGGTGGGATTAGTCCTGTCTGCTGGGAGGAAAAGGAGGTATACTGGTAAAACCTTAATGTTCCCCTCATTGTAAACAGTATCTGATCTCTTCTCTTTAATTCTTGTTTTTTAATTGTGCTATTCTTTTTTTTTTTTTTCTAGAGACTGAGTCTCACTCTGTCACCTAGGCTGGAATGAGGTGACACAATCATAACTCACTGCAGCCTCAAACTCCTGGGCTTCAGTGATCCTCCCACCTCAGCCTCCCAAGTAGCTGGGACTACAGGTGCTAATTTTTCTTATTTTTTTGTAGGGACAGGGTCTCACTATGATGATCAGGCTGGTCACAAACTCCTGGCCTCAAGTGATCTTCCAGCCTCAGCCTCCCAAAGCACTGGGATTATAGATGTGAGTCACTCTGGCCTTAGTGTTATTCTGTATTGTTACTGAACATTTCTATTGCTATTGCTATTCTATCCTAATTGTGCTATTCCTGTCTTTTCAGGATTCCTTTTTAAAAGGAGCCAGGCAATAACACTATAAATAAATACAATTATAATGTGTTAACAGTAGGCATCTGCTATGCCAGGTCTGCACTGCTACACAAATGAGGAAATCTTCATGTCCACCGAGTCAGTGAGAATGTACCCATGCAATAAGTCCCCAGTTGTCCTGGGCTTGTGCTATAGTTTCTACATACAAAATCTATACATAGCTTAAACTCTTCCAATGTCTGTATAAAACTGTATAAAAACAGTTGCCTAGATCGGCATTGTTCAAGTTAAAACAAAATTGAAAAATGCAGAAAACCAAAAAGCTTTCCTTTTTTCTTTGTTTAGATTAATTAACCATATGCTGAATTATTTATGTACCATCAATATATACTAAGGATAGGGTATCTACAGAAATGAAAAACCTCATAGGGACTATTTTTAAAGATTTTAAACTTTGCAAAGTAAGATGACACAAACCCAGAATGAAACATAAGGCAGGATGCCCTAATTGTGCTTTTATAAAGGTACAAATAAAGAGCAGGGTCCTTGGTGGCAGATGAAATACAGGTAGCATGCACTGAGCACTTTGAGCATGCCAGACAGTGAGAGAAAGAAATCTAAGACTTGGTTGTAATTAAAGACATGAGCGGGCATTCAGTTCATGGTGCTCAGAGAGATATGAGCATTCCTAACTCGCAGACCCAGGCCAGGAGACACCACTAATGATCACAGGCACATTAAGGTGTGAGCAATGCAGGTCCTCCAACTCAGGAAACAGGCAGACTAAGAGTTCATAGATAACAGATAAATGTTAAGAAGGCAATTAGTATCTTCATCTTCAATGACAACCAAAACCAGGGGGGAAAATGAGCCAGGAGCTATGAAAACACCCAGTGGGGGTCTAAGCCACAGAAAGGTAAGTAAGCTTTTTAAAGCTAGAAATACATATGGATGAAGAATTTGTGTTTGTTTTTGTTCTTTATTGCTCTAATTCTATTATGAATATACCTGTATAGAGGTATATATAGAGGTATCAATGAATCAGCTTATGAGCTATTTTCCTAAACACAACATTTATTTGCCTAGTGTTTATCAATCTTGCTGGCACACTGAAATCACTTGGAAAGTTCTTAAAAATCCTGCAGCCTGGGGCTCATAGCCAGAAACATTAGGGCGTGACTTGGACGTCAGGATTTTTGAGATGTCCAGTTGATTCCCACCATGCCACGGGAACTCTGGGTGAGCAGATGAACGAACCTATCTCAATTTCCCAACATAAACCAAGCCTAAACAGGTGATGCTCTCTTAGGGACAGAGGTGACCCTCAGAGGGGCTGTGGTTTGGATACCAGGCTAGTACCTTATCAGGTATCCTAATTTGGGAAAGGAAATCTTATCTAATACAGAGTTAACTATTGCTAGATTAGACTCCTACTCTAAATTCCTTCCCAACTAGTTTCTGATACAATCAGAGCAACAAAAATCCAACCTGGAATGGAACTTTGCATGTTTTAAATTGGCCTTGATCATAGCAAATTAGGGTTTTTTTTTATCCCTTACTTAATCCTCACCACAACCTAGTGAGGCAGGTGCTGTTGTCATTTCCAATTGTGTGCAGACACTTAGGACCCGAGAGGTTAGATCACTTGCCTGCGGACACAAAGCTAGTGGCAGAGCCAAGAATTAAACCAGGTTACGATAACACCAAAGTCCTGTCTTGAACCTCTACTGATTCTGCCTCATAGGACTGCAATACAGGCAAGAGCAGTTGTTCATACGGGTATAGCTTACAAAAAGAAAAAAAAAAAAAATAACTGACCCCTTTCAGGTGACTGGTCTACAGGCATTAAAAAGAGTCCTTAGCTCTGTACTAAAAGTAAGTGAACTCTGACCAGGTCTCTGATATTTTTTCCAGAAAGAAGAGCACATGTCGTCGGGGCCTGGTTTCCTCCACTCAGTCCACGACGGGCACTGTCCCGTCTTATTGAGAACCCAGCCTGGGGTCTAGATCTGCAGCGGGTAGTGGGGTACACCACAGCTCTCTGCAAACACACCCAGGCAGCAAACCGGAACCCCAGAACTACGTCCTCCCCGTGTCTGCTTCTTAACTGAAGCATTCACATGAAAGCTGTGCAGCCAGAAATAAAACAATAAGAGTCACCGCTGCCAAAACAAGCTCTGCAAATCCCTAAAATAAAGTAGCCAGATGAATAAAAATAAGCAGGGTAGGGTAGAAAAACAGTCAATGGAATCTTGCGTGCAGTCAGCAGGATCGGAGGCTCGGGTGTCGCTTTGTAGGAAAAAGGAAAGTGGTGTCTCAGGAGGATCTGGATGAGGTCCCTGCTCTCCAGCAACAATATCCCAAGTTACCGGCCACCGGAGCCACGAAGCAGACGTGCTGACAGACCAGGACATCTGGGAACCTCATTTGCAACGTCTTGCTTTATGGTCAGGAGACAAAGTCTAA